CAAGGCCAAACTTTATTTAAAAAACAACCTTTCAGGATTCTAAGTTAATGAAATCATTAAGCTCTTAATTTCCATATAAAGCGTAGATTTATTTCTCCCGTTCGAATTCATTATTATCACGTTTCTCTTATTTCCAGCATTATATCTCCTTTGTAAATGAAATGCTGCAATAACATAATAATGGAATTAAATTCAGAATTTAAAACAAAAATTTGGATAATTTTCCTGCACTTGCTTACAGTAAGGAATCTGACTACCAACCAGATCTTTTAGTTCTCAAGTGTTCGTTGATGTGTGTTAAAAAACTGAAACTTGGCACAAAGACTCATTACCGATGACAACACATTCTATCAAATTGTCAGCTCAACCCCCAACCACAACCCCAACCCCAATAATAATTCAGTTGTTCCTCTTTGTCAGGGGAAAGATAAAGGAAATATGACACTGATTTCACAAAATAATATTCCAGATAACTGCGGCTAAATAAGATTCCTAAAAATGGCGCAAGTGCGTTTGCACAACACTATAAAAAAAAAATCATTGTTTGTGCACAGGAAATCCTATTACTAAGTCAAATGCTGAAATAAACAATTAGAAAACCTGTCAAAATATAAGGCAGGCTATAATACTGTATGAAAAACTTGTGCAGGCCGAAAAGAAATTGGACAGTGGTAATGCTATTAAGAAAGTAATAATAAAAAAGAATATTTCGCTACTTCGCGGGCTGCAGGATGGGTGATGGCGGGCCGTATGTTGTGCAGGCCTGCTTTAGTGGGTTAATTCAGCCATCCTGTCAGTTTTCAACATAGTAATAAAGGGTTAATGAAGCCATCCTGTCCTTATTGCTATGTTGAAAACTGTTAATTTATTATTTGAATCTGGTTTGTTGACATCAAGTCCGCCAGGTTTTCATTTGCTGACATCATGTCTGCCAGGTTTTATTTGTTGACATCAAGGCTACCAGGTTTTGATTTGTTGACATCAAGTCTGTCAGGTGTCTTTATAATTCTGTATGTTTATTTTGTGATCAATAAATATTGTATTATGTTCTAATTAATTTTCATTTTATAATTTCAAAAAATGTTTTTTTTTTAAATGATGTGAGTAGTTAAAATCTTGAAACCCCTTGAACAATGAAGTGACAGCATTAATTCTAAAGTATCCATTTGACTTGTGTACTTTTATCAAGCAATGCATTGCCTGCGCTGTAAATATTCTAACTTGGACCCTTGAGACCCATTGTAAAAAATGAAACCCCTTGAGACCCATTGGGGAACATGAGACCCATTGGAGAACAATCAATAATAATTGTTTTATGTAATTCCAATTATTTACAAAATGGGGGTTAGGGTTGACAAATGAATTCTTTTACATCGGCTTTTGTTGACTAATTGATAAATGTCTTACCACAAGTTTGATAAGTGTTTTACACCAGTTTTTGTTTACTGATACTCTTCTACAGCAATAAATGATATTGATGTGTAAACAACGAGAAACTCGACAAAAGAAATCTGTCATTGAGGGTCATTGACAAAATCTGGCAACTTGATTAAAAAGACTTAGAATCAGAATGCCAGACATTATTATGATATTTATTATAAAAATGTTAAAAACATTTGTTGAGTTGTTGGTTGAAAGTTCACAGCGGCCAATTGTTGATTGAAAGTTCACAGTGGCCTATTGTTGGTTGAAAGTTCACATTGGTAAGTTGTTGGTTGAAAGTTCACAGCGGCCAATTGTTGGTTGAAAGTTCACAGCGGCCAATTGTTGGTTGAAAGTTCCCAGTGGCCAATTGTTGGTTGAAAGTTCACAGCGGCCAATTGTTGGTTGAAAGTTCACAGCAGCCAATTATTGGTTGAAAGTTCCCAGCGGCCAATTTTTTTGTTGAGGGCATGAGATTAAGATTGAATTTTGCAACAGATATGAAACAGTTGACTAATCAGAAAGTCTCAAGGTCGGGTTGACCTTCTTCAATCAACTATTTTCATTCATACCTATAATAAAAGTTTTCCCTGCTCCCAACTGGCAATACACAGAAGTCAAATAGTAAATACGATGAAATGACTTCTTTAAATACAGCTTAGAGGGTGAGTTTTGTGACATTGAAAACAACCCATTATTCTAATTATTGTGACATTGAAAACAACCTATTATTCTAATTATTGTGACATTGAAAAACAACCCATTATTCTAATTATTGTGACATTGAAAAACAACCCATTATTCTAATTATTGTGACATTGAAAAACAACCCATTATTCTAATTATTGTGACATTAAAAACAACCCATTATTCTAATTATTGTGACATTGAAAACAACCTATTATTCTAATTATTGTGACATTGAAAACGACCCATTATTCTAATAATTATTGTGACATTAAAAACAACCCATTATTCTAATTATTGTGACATTGAAAACAACCCATTATTCTAATTATTGTGACATTGAAAACAACCCATTATTCTAATTATTGTGACATTGAAAACAACCCATTATTCTAATTATTGTGACATTAAAAACAACCCATTATTCTAATTATTGTGACATTGAAAACAACCCATTATTCTAATTATTGTGACATTGAAAAACAACCCATTATTCTAATTATTGTGACATTAAAAACAACCCATTATTCTAATTATTGTGACATTGAAAACAACCTATTATTCTAATTATTGTGACATTGAAAACGACCCATTATTCTAATAATTATTGTGACATTAAAAACAACCCATTATTCTAATTATTGTGACATTGAAAACAACCCATTATTCTAATTATTGTGACATTGAAAACAACCCATTATTCTAATTATTGTGACATTGAAAACAACCCATTATTCTACTTATTGTGACATTGAAAAACAACCCATTATTCTAATTATTGTGACATTGAAAACGACCCATTATTCTAATAATTATTGTGACATTAAAAACAACCCATTATTCTAATTATTGTGACATTGAAAACAACCCATTATTCTAATTATTGTGACATTGAAAAACAACCCATTATTCTAATTATTGTGACATTGAAAACGACCCATTATTCTAATAATTATTGTGACATTAAAAACAACCCATTATTCTAATTATTGTGACATTGAAAACAACCCATTATTCTAATTATTGTGACATTGAAAACAACCCATTATTCTAATTATTGTGACATTAAAAACAACCCATTATTCTAATTATTGTGAAATTGAAAAACAACCCACTTTTTCTCATTCTTGTGATCTTCACATTTCAGACACTGTGTTTATGGCTTATGTCCTTAACAAATTATCTTAAAATGGTTTAAAATTACTGACACATTATCTCAATATGGTTTAAAATTCTTGACACATCTTTAATTTATTTAGCAAACTAGACACATTATCTTGATATGTTTTAAAAACAGAGCCCATTAGCTTATGATCAGAGCCAATCACCTTATGATTTATGAGATTACCGTGGCTTGTGACATCAGTCATGATGTCAGTGGTGTCTCCTGACATGAAACCATCTGGTCTGGTTCCGTAACATGCTGTTGCAGCAGAAGCTTCTCTTTACTCAAGTGGGAATGTTGGTCCTTGATTTCTCTTGTTAGCACATCAGATAACATTCCTTGCACTGCTATCTTCCACTGTGCTTTCCTTACATTCCTTACACTGCTATCTTCCACTGTATTTTCCTGACATTCCTTGCACTGCTATCTTCCACTGTGTTTCCTGACATTCCTTACATTGCTATCTTCCACTGTGCTTTCCTGACATTCCTTGCACTGCTATCTTCCACTGTGCTTTCCTGACATTCCTTGCACTGCTATCTTCCACCTTATTTTCCTGACATTCCTTGCATTGCTATCTTCCATTGTATTTTCCTGAAATTCGTTGCATTGCTATCTTCCACTGTGCTTTCCTGACATTCCTTGCACTGCTATCTTCCACTGTAATTTCCTGACATGCCTTGCACTGCTATCTTCCACTGTAATTTCCTGACATTCCTTACACTGCTATCTTCCACTGTATTTTCCTGACATGCCTTGCACTGCTATCTTCCACTGTAATTTCCTGACATTCCTTACACTGCTATCTTCCACTGTGTTTCCTGACATTCCTTGCACTGCTATCTTCCACTGTATTTTCCTGAAATACCTTTGGTAGACTGGTTACTAGATCGGTTTGTATTTTTACCCTGTTTAATTTTCTTCTACTTCGGGCATCACGTTCTCTTCATAAACCGTTGCTTTATCGGGGCTCCTCCGCTCATTTGAACTCTTTCCTATTGTGTGCTGAGAACCCTTGGCTGTATTAGATACTGATTGGCGGATATCTTCATCTAATGTGTCTGTGCTGAGAACCCTTGACTGTATTAGATACTGATTGGCAGACATCTTCATCTTTTGTGTCTGTGCACCCTTGGCTGTGTTAGATACTGATTGGCAGACATCTTCATCTTTTGTGTATGTGCTGAGAACCCTTGGCTGTATTAGATACTTATTGGCAGACATCTTCATCTTTTGTGTATGTGCTGAGAACCCTTGGCTGTATTAGATACTTATTGGCAGACATCTTCATCTATTGTGTCTGTGCTGAGAACCCTTGGCTGTGTTAGATACTGATTGGCAGACATCTTCATCTATTGTGTCTGTGCTGAGAACCTTGGCTGTATTAGATACTGATTGGCAGACATCTTCATCTATTGTGTCTGTGCTGAGAACCCTTGGCTGTGTTAGATACTGATTGGCAGACATCTTCATCTATTGTGTCTGTGCTGAGAACCCTTGGCTGTGTTAGATACTGATTGGCAGACATCTTCATCTATTGTGTCTGTGCTGAGAACCTTGGCTGTATTAGATACTGATTGGCAGACATCTTCATCTATTATGTCTGTGCTGAGAACCCTTGGCTGTGTTAGATACTGATTGGCAGACATCTTCATCTTTTGTGTATGTGCTGAGAACCCTTGGCTGTATTAGATACTGATTGGCAGACATCTTCATCTATTGTGTCTGTGCTGAGAACCCTTGGCTGTATTAGATACTGATTGGCAGACATCTTCATCTATTGTGTCTGTGCTGAGAACCCTTGGCTGTGTTAGATACTGATTGGCAGACATCTTCATTATCTTCAATATCATTGTCACTAAGAGAGGAATTGTCACTAAACAGGTCATCTCGACCTCTGGGAAAATCATGGTCTTTTGTTACTGACTTACTGAAAGATGTATGTCTAACGTTTGATCGTTTAAAGCTTGTTTGCTTATTTCTATGTCGATAGGGTAACTGACAGGGTTCACCAGGATCCCTATGTCGATAGGGTAACTGACAGGGTTCACCAGGATCCCTATGTCGATAGGGTAACTGACAGGGTTCACCAGGATCCCTATGTCGATAGAGTAACTGACAGGGTTCAGCAGGATCCGTTCGTTTAGTTCCATTTCTTCTATATGAAACCAAACGTCGCCCTGGGTTTGCCGCCACATCGTCTTTTAATATGTGTTTGTTATGTTGCCATGGTAGTTTTGTTTTTAAAGATGGCTGTGTCCATAGATTTGTTTTTTCAATGTGGAGATATAGCGGATCCACATTCTCGGACTTGGACAATGTGTAGACTTGTGGTCTTTGAGTGTGCTTAGTGTTGTGTAATTTTAAGACGGATTTATAACGTAATGGGCTGAGGATGAGACCATCTGGTCTCTTTTGACGTTGAGAGACCTGATCGCTTATTGGGCTGAATATCGAACTTGTCACGTGATTAAGTTCATCAATCTTTATATCCATGATCTCTTTCAGAAAATGCATATCCCCGAATCCACTCGACTTGTTTCCACTGCTGCTCCATCGACCGTGAGAAACATTTCTTTCTTGCTGCACTTCCGCGCTTGTACCGGTATTTGTTTTGATCGAAATATTGTCCGTATTTTCACACATACTTTGGGCCTTAATATCAGATGTTTGATTGCCATCTTCCTGAAGACGTTGACAAGTTCCATCTGTGAATGCCTCTTGAGAACTGGAGATTTGAACCCCACCGCAACGACATGGGTCGGGTTCAAGATAATGTGAATCGGCAGCTTGTATGTGCATCTTGGACTCAGGTATGGCTTGTATGTGCATCTTGGACTCAGGTATGGCTTGTATGTGTATCTTGGACTCAGGTATGGCTTGTATGTGCATCTTGGACTCAGGTATGGCTTGTATGTTCATCTTGGACCCAGGTATGGCTTGTCTGTGAAGATTATGAGGCTGATCATTGTGTGAATGACTTTGACTATTGAATGAATCTGACTGAAGGTTCTGAGGCTGATCATTGTGTGAATGACTTTGACTATTGAATGAATCTGACTGAAGGTTCTGAGGCTGATCATTGTGTGAATGACTTTGACTATTGAATGAATCTGACTGAAGGTTCTGAGGCTGAGCATTGTGTGAATGACTTTGACTATTGAATGAATCTGACTGAAGGTTCTGAGGCTGAGCATTGTGTGAATGACTTTGACTATTGAATGAATCTGACTGAAGGTTCTGAGGCTGAGCATTGTGTGAATGACTTTGACTATTGAATGAATCTGACTGAAGGTTCTGAGGCTGAGCATTGTGTGAATGACTTTGACTATTGAATGAATCTGACTGAAGGTTCTGAGGCTGAGCATTGTGTGAATGACTTTGACTATTGAATGAATCTGACTGAAGGTTCTGAGGCTGATCATTGTGTGAATGACTTTGACTATTGAATGAATCTGACTGAAGGTTCTGAGGCTGATCATTGTGTGCATCCGATTGAAATGTCTGTGTCTGTGAAAGTGAAACAAACCAAGATGCGCTTGTCTTAGTCTCCTTGATCTTTTTCTTTGAATCAATTTTTTCGATTTCAGATGGATGTTTTTGACTCTTAAAAGTCTTGGAGTCTTCTTGTCTTGCTGGTCCCCCCCTGGGTGTTTTTGTTGGCCCTCCCCTGGGTGTTTTTGCTGGTCCTCCCATGGGTGTTTTTGTTGGTCTGTCTGCTGTCTGTTCCGGCTTTCTTGAAATAGATCGGTACAACCTGTCTGTAATTTGCTGCACTTCGTGAGCCGAGACAACACGTAGGGCTGGAGCACGTGGTAGCCGTGTATGGTATGTGGGGACATACTCCTGGAACTTGCCTTCAAATCTGTTTGGAGAGTATTTCTGTGGGGGGAAATAAACGAAAAGGATCATGTTTCATCTCTCGATCATTGTGTCAATCTGGAATGTACCATTTGACACTGGCGCCCCCTTAAGATGGAATGTATCATTTGACACTGGCGCCCCCTAAGATGGAATGTACCATTTGACACTGGCGCCCCCTAAGATGGAATGTACCATTTGACACTGGCGCCCCCTAGGATGGAATGTACCATTTGACACTGGCGCCCCCTTAACATGGCATGTATCATTACAACCCCTAAGATGGAATGTACCATTTGACACTGGCGCCCCCTAAGATGGAATGTATCATTTGACACTGGCGCCCCCTAAGATGGAATGTATCATTTGACACTGGCGCCCCCTAAGATGGAATGTATCATTTGACACTGGCGCCCCCTAAGATGGAATGTACCATTTGACACTGGGGCCCCCCTAAGATGGAATGTACCATTTGACACTGGCGCCCCCTAAGAGAAGAACAAAAATATTGCTCAGAAATGGAAATGTGCCACATAGGGTTATGTTAGGCAATAGTTGATTCATTCCCCGCTCTTATCAACAATGGTAGGCAATAGTTGATCCATTCCCCACTCTTATCAACAATGTTAGGCAATTGTTAAGCCATTACCATAGTAATCGTATATTTACAATCTATTTGATTTTTATTGAAATATGAGAACAAGGTATAATTTTAAACTGGAATTCATAAACAGGTCAAAAGATTTTGTCCTGTTTATGAATTAAAGTTAACACACTTTGTTCTTATATTTCAATCACACAACTTGAATGCAGTCCATCAATTATTATGTTTTTGTTTTTTTTATTTTTATTGAAAATTAGAACTGTTGACCTTAATTTATTTTTAGCTCCCGGCCTTGTCAATAGTTTTCAAACATTCAGTCTATCCCAATGATCAAATAAACAGACTGGTCCAGTTGTCAAACATACATTCTAACCCAGTTGTCAAACAAACAGACTAGCCCAGTTGTCAAAAATAGTCTGTCGCAATGGTCAAAATATACAGACTAGCCCAGTTGGCAAACATACCGACTGGCCCAGTTGTCAAACATACAGTCTTACCCTATTGTTAAACAAATAGACTAGCCCAGTTGTCAAACATACAGTCTGACCCTATTGTCAAACATACAGTCTGACCCTATTGTCAAACATACAGTCTCGCCCTATTGTCAAATATACCGTCTGGCCCTCAAACTCAAAGGCAACTTTGCGGTAAAAAGGGTGTGTGGGGGCGGGTGGGGGGATGTCTACACATTTTGAAGATATATAAAAATGACCCCAAAGACGTTAGTACCAAACGTTACATGTCACAATCTATGACCAGGTGACCTACATATTTCTCCAGGACACGGTCGTGTAGGTCGATAATCCCGCGAGAAGCAGAAGTCCCAGGGTTGTTCCTCGGCTGAATAGCAGCGGCGTATCCATTATAAAGGTTGCGGATACTTTGAGCCATTTCGGCTCTGATTTCAGAGTCTTTCAGAATTTAGGATCTTTTATTGTCTCGGCTCTCTCAGATTCTTGGATATTTTAGTGCCTCGGCTCTCTCAGAATATAGGATCTTTCAGTGTCTCGGCTCTCTCAGAATCTAGGATCTTTTTGTGTGTCGGCTCTCTCAGAATCTAGGATCTTTTAGTGTCTCGGCTCTCTCAGAATCTAGGACGTTTTAGTGTCTCGGCTCTCTCAGAGTCTAGGATCTTTTAGTGTCTCGGCTCTCTCAGAGTTCAGGATCTTTTCAGAGTCTAGGATCTTTCAGAGTCTAGGATCTTTTCAGAGTCTTGGATCTTTCAGTGTCTCGAAATAAAAGTTTTCTATTGTCAAATAAGAAAAAAATATGAATTATTTCTTTAAAACAGCAAGTGACGCGTGTGTGTGAGGTGGTCGTGTGGTGTATGTGTGTGTGTGTGTGTGTGTTAGGTGGGGTGTTACTGTTATAGATGCCTGATAGAATATGTGGTTAGTAAATATATAAAAGTATATGTGCTCTTTCCTGAATTCCCCTACACATCTACAAGCCTAACTATAGACTGAGGCTTAGATAGACTTAGACTCCTCTCCATATATTTTCTATATCATAATATGTAAAGGCCTTATTATTTTGCAGGCACATTTCATTTCTGAACATTTGGCACCACTTCGAATGATCTAAAGAGCCTAACCTTGAACAGGATAAAGATGTAGTTATTATTGCTAAGCTATATCACGTGATAAACATTATGTATAGAGGGCGTGCTTCATTCATCCTGTCATTACATGTTTCCTTGACGAAGTCATCCCACGACACTGATGAATGAAGATGCAATTAATTTCTGTAATATTTCATAAATATATACAATCTCTAAATTCTTACCAAAAATAAAAGAAGACAATATGGCATTGCTCATCACAACTGATACTGATATATATGATACAGTACGCTCTTTCTGCATCTTACAACCGACAGACGGACGAACAGAGAGTTCTGGTCGGCTCAGTTCTCTAGGGTAGGACTAGGTTCTGAAGGCAATCTATACACAATCAATGGGGTCTATCTATAGTCTGTTAACACAGAGTCACCTTTTCAAACTCTTTCACTAAATGTTTCGTCGCCTCTCGGTGCACTTGCACTTTCATTGACGAAACAGATCTATCGTCTGCTGTAGAGTAAAATTAAACTTAAGAATTTTTTTATTTTTTTTAACTTCTGTCTGGTGTGTTACTGTGCTTCATTGTCAATGTCAGACACTTCTGTCTGTCTGGTGTGTTACTGTGCTTCAATGTCAATGTCAGACACTTAAATATGTGACTTGAGCGAGGGGGGGGGGGGGTGTTGGTATGGGACTTTTAGAAATGTGCCCAAAATGAATTCGTGTTTAATTTGATCACAGGCCTACCTTTTTCTTAGTCTCCCTTTTAGCTGATCACGTGCTTAACTTTTTTAATTGTCAATGTCAGACACTTCTGTCTGTCTGGTGTGTTACTGTGCTTCAATGTCAATGTCAGACACTTAAATATGTGACTTGAGCGAGGGGGGGGGGGGTGTTGGTATGGGACTTTTAGAAATGTGCCCAAAATGAATTCGTGTTTAAGTTGATCACAGGCCTACCTTTTTCTTAGTCTCACTTTTAGCTGATCACGTGCTTAACTTTTTGTTAGTCTCACTTGTAGCTGATCACATGCCTACCATTTTTGTTAGTCTCACTCGAAGCTAGAAAACGCGCAAAATAGTTTTTAAATAAATATTTTTAGGTTGTATGTTAATAGAATATATGGTATTTTTAGTTTGTATGTTTAAAAAAGGATATTTTTGAGGTTGTATGTTAAAAGAAATGATATTTTTGCACATGTTTGAGACCTTGATAATGCAATTATAGCATTAAAATATCATTGAAAATTGGGGCGGCAAAAAAGGCATTGTGGGGAGAGCAAAGGGCGTTGTGAAGAGGGCGAAAAGGATTGTGAGGAGGGCGAAAAGGATTGTGAGGAGGGCGAAAAGGATTGTGAGGAGGGCGAAAAGGCATTGTGAGGAGGGCGAAAAGGATTGTGAGGAGGGCGAAAAGGATTGTGAGGAGGGCGAAAAGGATTGTGAGGAGGGCGAAAAGGATTGTGAGGAGGGCGAAAAGGATTGTGAGGAGGGCGAAAAGGCATTGTGAGGAGGGCGAAAAGGCATTGTGAGGAGGGTGAAAAGGCATTGTGAAGAGGGCACATGCTTTTAATACCGGATCTCAGCAACATCTTTTCTGGCGCGGCACACCCTATATAACTTGACCAAGTATTCCACGGCACACCCTATATAACTTGTCCAAGTATTCCGCGGCACACCCTATATAACGTGTCCAAGTATTCCGCGGCACAACCTATATAACGTGTCCAAGTATTCCGCGGCACACCCTATATAACGTGTCCAAGTATTCTGCGGCACACCCTATATAAAGTGTCCAAGTATTCTGCGGCACTCCACAAGTAAAAAAAATCAAAATTGGACTAAATAATATTACTATAACGTAGTTAACATTAATAATTGTGTTGGTCCTAATAGGTATCAGACTACACTCTCTACTCGATTGTTCCATAACTGTATTGGATACACGTCTGTTAGTGCAGAGTTGGACTGCTTGATAACAGACGAACAAATGTCCCTTTTGTAGCAACTCGCTTTACACACGTATATATACGGTGCTCGGTGCTTTCCTCCCCACTCTTGGAATCATCTCGCGGCACACAAGCCGCGGCACATCAGTTACGGAGCTCTGCGTTATATTTGAATTTTTTATTTGAATACAAATATTTCATGTAAATTTAGACCAATGACGCCTTTACTTACCGGAATAGCTTCCACTGTCTGCACATGGCCAAATTGAAACCAAAGCTTCCACTGTCTGCACTTGGCCAAATTGAAACCAAAGCTTTCACTGTCTGCACTTGGCCAAATTGAAACCAAAGCTTTCACTGTCTGCACTTGGCCATATTGAAACCAAAGCTTTCACTGTCTGCACTTGGCCAAATTGAAACCAAAGCTTTCACTGTCTGCACTTGGCCATATTGAAACCAAAGCTTTCACTGTCTGCACTTGGCCATATTGAAACCAAAGCTTTCACTGTCTGCACTTGGCCATATTGAAACCAAAGCTTTCACTGTCTGCACTTGGCCACATTGAAACCAAGGAATTAGCAGCACAACTCCCAAGGATCGAATTAGCGACAGGTCTGATCTACAGGCGCACGCCAAATGCCTGGACGACGTTTGCTTAGCAGAGTTATTTTATTTAACTTCCATGGAACGAGATAATGGGCTTGAAAAAAATAAATTGTTTTGAATGTGCTGGCACACGAGACTAGCCGGTGTGTGTGAAAAAAAAGGTGGGGGGGGAGGGTAGGGGGTAGCCATGTGAAAGATAGTAAGGTATAAAAACCAAATTAGAATAAGATTACATTAAGATCGATACTTGAAATAAATTGAATTTGAATATGATAAACACAAAGTTGCCTAGGAACAATCCATGAAATTGAAATGTTTAATAAGAGAATTCAACACATGACATGGATCAGTGAAATTGAAATGTTTGATAAGAGAATTCAACACATGACATGGATCAGTGAAATTGAAATGTTTGATAAGAGAATTCAACACATGACATGGATCAGTGAAATTGAAATGTTTGATAAGAGAAATCAATACTTGACATGCATCATTGGTAGTGTTTAACACCATCAACATTAACTGTTGTATTTAATAACATGAATCGTTTGTTGTGTTCAACACCATGCATTATTTGTTGTGTTTAATAACATGCATCGTTTGTTGTGTTTAACAACATGCATCGTTTGTTGTGTTTAACAACATGCATCGTTTGTTGTGTTTAAAAACATGCATCGTTTGTTGTGTTTAACAACATGCATCGTTTGTTGTGTTTAACAACATGCATCGTTTGTTGTGTTTAACAACATGCATCGTTTGTTGTGTTTAACAACATGCATCGTTTGTTGTGTTTAACAACATGCATCGTTTGTTGTGTTCAACAACATGCATCGTTTGTTGTGTTTAACAACATGCATCGTTTGTTGTGTTTAACAACATGCATCGTTTGTTGTGTTTAACAACATTCATCATTTCTTGTGTTTAGCAACATGCATCATTTGTTGTGTTTAACAACATGCATCATTTATTGTGTTTAACAACATGCATCGTTTGTTGTGTTTAACAACATGCATCGTTTGTTGTGTTTAACAACATGCATCGTTTGTTGTGTTTAACAACATGCATAATTTGTTGTGTTTAACAACATGCATCGTTTGTTGTGTTTAACAACATGCATCGTTTGTTGTGTTTAACAACATGCGTCGTTTGTTGTGTTTAACAACATGCATCGTTTGTTGTGTTTAACAACATGCATTGTTTGTTGTGTTTAACAACATGCATCGTTTGTTGTGTTTAACAACATTCATCATTTGTTGTGTTTAGCAACATGCATCGTTTGTTGTGTTTAACAACATGCATCGTTTGTTGTGTTCAACAACATGCATCGTTTGTTGTTTTTAACAACATGCATCGTTTGTTGTGTTTAACAACATGCATCGTTTGTTGTGTTTAACAACATTCATCATTTGTTGTGTTTAGCAACATGCATCATTTGTTGTGTTTAACAACATGCATCGTTTGTTGTGTTTAACAACATGCATCGTTTGTTGTGTTTAACAACGTGCATCGTTTGTTGTGTTTAACAACATGCATCATTTGTTGTGTTTAACAACATGCATCGTTTGTTGTGTTTAACAACATGCATCGTTTGTTGTGTTTAACAACATTCATCATTTGTTGTGTTTAGCAACATGCATCGTTTGTTGTGTTTAACAACATGCATCATTTGTTGTGTTTAACAACATGCATCGTTTGTTGTGTTTAACAACATGCATCGTTTGTTGTGTTTAACAACATGCATCGTTTGTTGTGTTTAACAACATGCATCGTTTGTTGTGTTTAACAACATGCATCGTTTGTTGTGTTTAACAACATGCATCGTTTGTTGTGTTTAACAACATGCATCGTTTGTTGTGTTTAACAACATGCATCGTTTGTTGTGTTTAACAACATGCATCGTTTGTTGTGTTTAACAACATGCATCGTTTGTTGTGTTTAACAACATGCATCGTTTGTTGTGTTTAACAACATGCATCGTTTGTTGTGTTTAACAACATGCATCGTTTGTTGTGTTTAACAACATGCATCGTTTGTTGTGTTTAACAACATGCATCGTTTGTTGTGTTTAACAACATGCATCGTTTGTTGTGTTTAACAACATGCATCGTTTGTTGTGTTTAACAACATGCATCGTT